ATAATTGATGACTAAGAAGTGTGCAGCTATATGCACTTACAACTTGGACCATTATGGGTAGCTTATTGGGCCACTTCTTATAGCCTAACTTGTTGGTATGACTGCTCTTATGTGTTCAAAATAGCAAGTGTAAGTTTGAAGTATGTGTTCTGAGACACAATTATAAGGTGTTTTTAGTCCAGGTCCTTTCTATAGATAACCCAATAGGTTAGGTTAGGTGCATGTCAGAAGTCAGACACAGTCAGACCAGAAATTAACTGGTCGTTAACCTACTAGTTGCATACTGCAAAGCACATGTGAAGTTCAGTTGCACCCATGGAAAAATAGCCCAGGTGATTTTCTGGTGAATTCACAGTGATGAGTGAGTGTCATGTGTCCTGCTTCTCGAACACCAGGCAGCTGCCTAGACAAAACCAAATAGAGAATTTCCAGTAGTGAGAATTTGTCTGAAGCTATTCCCTGCTGTGAGCTGCATGTGAGAAGAAAACTTCATTGCCCTGACCTGATTTTGTTGTGCGAAAGCAACTATAGGCTAAATATAGTTCTTAACATATTGAATTTAACACAGGGCATGAAAGGAGAGTAGAGTTTAATGTACATGCTTAGCTTAATGTTTGCTTTGTTCTAGAGTATGTTCATATTATGTGTTTGATCCTGAGGGGAGGGGAGACAAGGTCATGCCAGGTAAAACAAGTTACCTAAGATGACCTTGTCTCCCCACCATGTGACGCAGTACAAGTATACTGTATGTGCAGACAATATATTGCATACCTGTCAATTCTAAGCAAACAAATTAATCTGCTGTCAAACACAGTAGAGTTTTTTGTCAACACCAACCTCCTGTGCTCTGAGAGCTGCCACGAGATAGGCTGCGGGCCTTTCCTCAGGACTCACGAGTCTCAATCTCCAACAGTCTTGACTGCCTCCCTTTTTCATACCCTCAGCCTCAGGGGCCTCACGCCTGACAGCCAGTCCCAGTGCTAAGACCCACTCTGACCATCTGTCTGGGCCATTCAGGCCAAATACTGCTGCTGACGTAGACACGTTCATATGTGTTTTTCTTTTTCACATATTGGGATCACTGTCAATTAGACTTTTCTGTATGCTAATGAATCCAAAACATTGTTACATTTTGTTTTCCTAGTCATGCTTACCACAGCTCTTGGTAAAAAACCAAAACATTTCAATTTTTCTGTCAATGCAAATGAATTATGCAAGTTTTTGTAAATTACTTGTTTTCCTGTATTGGTATTCAAATAGCCAGAAAGTATTTTAAGACAGATTAAAGAATAGATTATACTCTGTTTTGGACACAGACGACTAGAGACATGATGGTCATATAGTCATTGCTATTATTCTTTGAACTCTTTATTCTTTGAATTTACATCAAACAGACCCAAGCAGACTTGTGGACTTGGAAAGGCTAAAGACTATTTTTGTTTTTATTGGTTATTACAGTTCAAATTGCCACCAAAACTACACTCACCAGATACTTCATTAGGTACATCTATTCAACTACTTGGAAAGTTCACATATCTAATCAGCCAATCACACAGCAGCAACTCAGTGTATTTAGGCATGGTAAAGAGAACCTGCTGGAGTTCAAACCAAGAATTAGAATGAGGAAGAAAGTTGATTTATGCAACTTTCAACGTGGGATTGTGCTTTGTAGCACATTCGATCAGAACTTGGCATAAACACCATTAAACCGTGGGTAAAACCTAGTACTAGTAAGGTGTAGCTAATAAAGAGGCTAGTGAGTGTCCAAAACAGTTTCCTGTTACTGTTCTGTTTTCCCACATCTTAGCCAATATTAAACAATAAGTAATAGCGATGATGGAAATAGTACTAAAGCTTTAATAAGCAAGTGTGTTTCTGTTATTAAATAACCTAAAAGCATCGGGTATAATGACATTTATATTTTTTTTATAGTGAGCACTGTCAGAGTGCTGAAGCAACTATTGATTTCTTGATGGGATTCGAGAAAAGGAACAAGCTGCTCGTTCCTCTTGTGTCACATACAAGATTTTTGTTCCCTGTAGTTGAATTCCCAGTTCAGATCTAAGGTGTCTGCTTTCAACAAACCCTGACATAAAACATAAAACTATTAATTACCTGGAATGAAGAAAAAAAAGATTTACTGATGCAGAAAATTGATTTTTGCAATGAAACATAATTGAACAAGTCACTTTGCAGGATGTGTCAGCCAGTGATTATAAACAAGCTCGTGTCACTTTGTGGGTTTGTGTTTGGTGTATCGAGTAAAGTGCTTGCAGCTCATTTATTTGCTCTGATTATACAAATGTCTCAAAATTTGTGTGGGTTCTGTATAATTTCTCAATACCAAATGAAGCCATGCATGTATCTGTATTCTTACTTCATCGTGTAATTCATGGACAAGGATTTGCTGGTTTGACTGCTTATCAAATTACAGCAGTGGACACGCAAATACATAGACCTATAGACACTCACGCACTATAGAAACCGTCAAAGCAGCATAGTCAACTGTCGTGTATAATGGGCATTGTACTGTAAACAGTAGCTGTCTGTCAGCACAGCTCAGCATCATTCTGCACAATCCTGCCACTGTGGGTGTTTGTTTGCACACATGGGTGTATGTTTGTGTGCCTTAATAGATGGATTCAGGTAGAAACAGCTGGTCCACTTCAACTGGGTATTTAGAGTTAGACACAAATGGGCTAATTAATTGTGATAGACTTCAGCACAGTGATTCTTTTTTTCACTGTCATCACGTCACGTCTCCCTTAGTGATCCCCTTCTCCAGATTTTTCTCTCACTCTTTACCAAAATTTCTCCTGAGCCCATGGCCTATCTTTAACACGACTCTCACTAAGAGTATTACAAATGAGAAATCAGTGTTTATTAAAGCCAGGGACTTTCAAGGAGTTTCATAGGCATATTTCTTTCTACACAGAAATCACTAATTTATTTAGTTAAATAACCTTTATTTTACCCACACAGGCCTTTATGTGTCTAAGCTAAAAAAACAACAAAACAAAACCCCCATCCTATCAGAATTAGTTTTTCTGTGTTAAAATATCACTGCAGTGGCTAAGTGAGAGCAAGTCATTGACCAGTTGAAAACGATTCCATTTATACTGTTTGAAGTTTCAGAAGTTGGTGGTGATAAAAGCATTTTGGTGTCCCAGTGCTGGCAGTACAGTTTCCACAGATGAGCAGGCCAAATTTCTGTTCATAATGTTCAGCTTTCCAGAAAAAAAGAAATGATGATAGCTAGTTTCTCATTTCAATATGGATGAGATGGCAGTGTGCAATATGAAAGATGTCTCATATTAGGCATTTGGGCCGGTAAAAAAAATAATAAATTGACACCCATTTGCGGTTTTCCTTCTGGCTTTCTGAAGCATGCTGGCATCTGTTAGCAAATTTGGGGTTTGTACACAGACTGTATAAAAAAGACAGCCATACCCACCGTGATGTCATCCACTGGCTTCTGGGCTGCACATTCTGACATCCTTGATGTTAGTGTCTTGACCATTTCCATGTTAGCTTTGGAAACTATGTGGACAAAAGTATGAAGCCACACCTCTTAATTTTTCAGATCAGGTGCAATCGGCCTTTGCAAGCTTTCATTCTAAAGAGCTCACTGAATTTGAGCATGATACTGTAATAGGATGCCAGTGTTGACACTTTGTGTGTGAAATTTGATTATTTGTCAAATTTGTTCCATGTTAACTGTAAGCTGTGTTGTTTTTAAGAATCAGCAACTCTGCCACATAAAATTACAGTGTGGATTCGCTGAGTTCTGAGGTGCATAGTGCATAAAGGTCTGCAACGCTAAGTAACTGCAGAGATCCAAACCTCCTCTGCCATTAACATCAGCACAGAGACTGTGCACTGGAAGCTTCATGGCATGAGTTTCGATGGCCAAACGATTCCTGTAGCCATAAAATGTAGAAGGCCAAGTACTTTTGTCCATATAGCACATAGATGAGAGGATAGAGCACCAAATTATCAGCTAATGCTACCAACCATGGCTAGTAAGCTGCACCCATAAACTGTACTAGTGTACATAGATATCTGCTAAACAGTGCAAAGTAACAGACTCATCAAAGAGCAGAATTTCATTCACAAAAAAACTGAAGCACAAATTTCCTTGTCAGTCATTTTTCAGATAATTCCATTAAAATACTTCAGGAGGCCCCCAAAGGTACAAGCAGTTTTAGAAATAAATTAATTGTCAGGACCCAAAGCAGTCAGTGCAACCACACCCCTAATTATAGGCTTTAACCAAATGGATGAGTTATTTAAAACAAAAAAAGTTCACTAAATTGTACTGTTGTTATAAAACGGGGAAGAATAAAGGCCAAACTGCTTTTTGTACCAGCCTGTAAATATGCTTTTAATACTCTTGAATTCGTCGTAGGAATCTGTTGGGACAGACTCGCCTTTGGAATGAGCTTCAAGTGGCCATTAGAGACACTTTTGCATTGGCCTCATTTTTCAGCAATAAAGGCTGTCTCTTAGTTTCCTTAGTGCTTTGGTTCATCAATGGGTTTTTTTCAGACATACAGAACTACTGTTTTCTGTGAAAATGCTCTTAAAACCAGTTGTACACTACTACCCAAGCACCAAGGTAAAGAGGAGAAAAAGAAGAAATGTTAGTAACAATGGTGAATTTAGATGGTGTATTTTTTTGGTTGCTAGGAGATTGGTTCTGGGACCTGAAGGGCCTCTTGAAGCAGCAAAATAAAGAAGAATTAAAATGAAATTTGCTCTTAGAGTTCTGTTTTATATCTGTTTTCGGTCACTGGCCAAATGTAACAGTTTACTCCTTTTCTTTGGAAAGGAGCTATGAATTGAACTAAGCTATCCTGAGCTCTCCATTTATTTCTCCTTTTTAGCAGAAACCTCATAAAAGGCATTCATTATTTCCAGGTAAATAGAAAAAAAGAAACAAAACAAAATTCTACCATAACCTTGATAATAGTCTTTTCTATCTTTTCTTTCTCTTGCAGACAGCAACTTCATCCTGGCCAATGCTCAGGTGTCGAAGGGGTTTCCCATTGTGTACTGCTCCGATGGCTTCTGTGAGCTCACAGGCTTCTCTCGGGCAGAGGTCATGCAGAAGAGCTGCGCCTGTAAGTTCCTGTATGGTCCTGAGACAAGCGAAAGCATCATCCTCAGCATCGACGAGGCTTTGGAGGAGCGCAAAGAGTTTAAGGATGAGATCATGTTCTACAAAAAGACAGGTCAGTCAAATGTCACTTTCCTAGCTGTAGTATTTGAGTTGCGTGCTCAATTATTGTTGGCTCCCTTCATTTATCATTTGTTTTCAGCTCATGCCGAGTCGCTTCACAACGCAGTGCAGAGTCTGAGCCTTTATTTACCATTTGCCAATTAGGTTGTGGAATCATAGATGGTAGGCAGGCTCAGAAAGCTATTAGATACTGCACCATGGGGTACTTTGTCTTTCAGATTTCCACGAATGAATGGCAGTTGTGTGTGGCTATTTCTGAGGAAGGTCAATTTAACCTGGCGTAGATGGGCCAGTCGATAGATGAAGCAATGGCAGAAGGCATGGATGTATTACTTCTTTTATTGAGCCATTCTCATTAAATGGTGATTAAACAAAGCCACCAGTCGGGAATGTCCTACAGTTATTATTGAATTCTGAGACATATTAAACTTTAATAGCTGTCTGCTAGTGACTCCTTAACCCCGTCTCCTTCAATTAAACCGAGACCAGAAACTAGCTGTGGTGCAGTATGGTTCGGTGTGTGATTCGCTGATTAGCGAGCCGGCCAATGAACAAAATGGAGTCAAAATAATGAGATCGTCAGGGTGCCAGCAGATACACACTTGCTGTGATACAAGCTGAGATGGTGCTATGTACCCCTGCATTTAAGAGTTTTTGTTATTTCTTATTGTTTGGGGTTTGTTTTTTTTAACAGATCCAGTTGTGAATCTACAAAATAATTAGAAAAACACGTTTCCACCCAGACAGCCAAATGTTGTATTTTTTAGTGAATACCTCAGCAGTTCCTCTGTCACAATCCAGGAGGAAAGTTATTCATTTTATCAGTTTAGTGTCTCTCTTTCACTTCACATTAGGGCTCATTCGTGAGTTTCCAACTGAGCCTTCAACATGACACATTTGATAAAGTCTGTGGAAACAAAAGAAATCTGTTCTTGTGCAACTGGGCAAAGTCTCTTCCTTGATAATCTGACTGGATTGCTTTATTTTTCACTTTCGGTTGTGGAGATTTCTGTTTTGTTTTGTCCAAACAGATCAGTGGTGAGCAATGAACCTGCCTCGACATTATTTTCTGTTGGCACGGAGATGGAGCCTGCAACAGCTGCTAGAACCGCAAGTTCCAGCAGCTGTTAATGTTTTTAAATCGATCAAATGAGCTTGTCACTTTACGAGCTGTTGTTTCTAAACATTGATTCAAACAAACAGTGTTGGTTCAATGTCTCTAAAGCTGCCATCAATTTACACAGCACTGGGCTCAGCCAGTCTATACTGTAGATGAGGTTACAGCTGAGAGGACCATTATATTACTTTCAATTCAATTCAGTTCCATTTTTTTTTTATAGTGCCAATTCATGACAACTCCTCAAGACACTATATTGAAAGATAAAGACCCAACAATAGTAGAAAGAAATGGTACGGCTCTGTGAGCAAGGACTTGGTGACAGTGGGAAGGAAAAACTCATTTTTAACAGGAAGAAACCGCGAGTAGAACCAGACTCCACCAACACTGGTTGGGTGTGAGAGGAAAGACAGAAAAATATTATAAATAACCAAATTATTGGATGCTAAATCATTATTTTCCATCTTGGTTTTACCGCACACATTTCTTCATCTCCAGAAGAGTAAAAGTCAGCAGTAGAAGTCCAACTTCTCCTTTGACTGATGTTGTACTACCTACATGTTCTGTCACATCTCGAGTCCTGCCCAGAAGGTTATTGTAGTTGGTTAAAAGTAAACTAAAGACTAAAACGAGGTTTGAAAAAAGATTTTAATTAACCAAAAAGAGCTTTTTTTTCTACTTGCTTCCACTAGCTTCCACTTAGGATATGAGTGGAATATTCACCAGTGATGCTCCACCAGTCACAAAAATCTTAAAAACCTGGACAGCTGCAGGAGCCCAAAAGTATATCGACTCAAAACTCACAACATTCATCAAATTCACATCAAAATCAATTAGGCAATACACAGCAGAATCAACCACAGAGGAGATTCTAAAGGCTTCCCGTGTAGATGGGTTGCTAATATAAAAGTCCAATTAGTATCTAGTCATGGGGTAATTGATGTTCCTGCACCCGTGCGTTTGGCAATAAGTAGAACTCAGGTGTGACTGCCTTACTACCTGCTTTGGTTTTTTTTTCACTGCTGTTTATAATAAAGTTTGCATGCACATGCAACATATTTACTGCACTTTAGTGCACGCCTAATAGAGGATGTTCAAAACACACAAATCTGTCTGATATTGCAGAGGACTTAGAAATTGAGAGATCTGCAAACACCATTGTGTGAACTGATCAAAAGCTGTTTGTGATTACGCTGTTTTGACAGCAGCTGTGAAGATGATTTGCCATGCTGCATGCTCTCTCAAAACGAGTAAAACAGAGATGGTGATTCGTGCACATGTCAGATTTTTTAGCATGTTTGCATGTGTTTATTTTTGATTGGCTTTTAAAGCAAATTCAGCAGGTCGTGCAGGGTATACACAGCTTTGCTAATAGCATCACAGATGTGATTTTCTACCCGCATCTTTGTTGTCTTTGCCACCATCTCCTTTTCTTTTCACTCAGCCCTTTTGTTACATTTCATCTCTCTCTCTTTCTCTCATGGCAATGCCATTTGTTTCAGTCCCGGTCTTATTACCATCTCCACATTGTTCTTTTGGCACCGCTTTTTCTATGTCTCTGTTCCTTATCTTGCTGCTTCCTCCCCTGCCTCAGCCTTTTTGTGTTGCCTCATCCCTCTCGTTTTCGTCTGTCACAGCAGCGTCCCGAAAGTAAACGCGGCTGATTGACTCAGTTTGTCCTCCGTCTGTCTGCCTGAGAAAAGCCAACACTGCATGATCGCAATCAAGAAGGCTCTTTCTCTCACTGTGTACTTGATAGTGCTGCCTTGTCTTGCAGGCAGACAGATATTCGCACGTACACACGGGGAGACGAAAAATACTGAGATTTAGTTATCATGAGGTGAGGGGGATTTAGTGAGTGGGAGAGATGGGAGGGAACTCCATGGGAAATCCCTCTTGATCAACAACTCATTTCTAATTACTGAGCAGAAAAGCAGTAAAGGTAGAGCAAAGATCTCTACTGTCACAGTGACATTGTGTGCTAAAAAAAGACGAATCCTTTTAAAGAACTAAAATGTTCACCTACCTACCTAGATTAGGTTTATTTAAATATTGTCCTTATTATTTACTGCCAGCCATGCACAATCCCCCAGCTTGATGTGGATTAGGTATAATTTGATGTGATTAAATAATTAACATAAAGAAGACTTCCAGACGGTCCTTAAGGAACACAAACTCGCTTTTAGATACAGCCCTGACTTGATCACTTTTTAAGCTGATGGAGTAAACTCATAAGCAGACAACTGCACATATGCAGATCCAGAGGACACGAAACACGATTTAGTTTCATTTCAAATTTTCAGTCCATCCAAGCCCAATATTTGCTCTTCTTCTCAATCTGCTGTAGTCTCATCAAAATTCTGTGAAAAACATCTGTCCCTTAGCTACTGAATGCTCCACTGTGCTCACTAGCATGCTCCTAATTGTTTGCTGTTCGGTGCTCGACAGGCAGCGTACAGTGGCTTTTAATGAGAGCTGTAAAAACAGTCCCAAAGTTTTGATCTGTGGAACCAAAACAATGAACTAAAAAGAAATGTTCCACAAAGTTGAGGCAGACGGCAGGCTGGAGATAATTCCACAGTATGCATTTTGTTAACTTTTTGGCTCATCTACAGTACATACAAAAGGATACAATGTGGTCTACTTGTATTTTCTGGATGCACAAATCTGTCTCCTATGACACTTTCCTTTGGTAAATCAATCGTTTAACAAGTGCACAATAACCACAACGAGCACACTCATTCTGATCAGAAACACTGCCCACAATACTGACCTGTAGTCTCTTTGACAAGGAATCTATTTAGCAGGAGATGGGACCTCAGAGATGGGTTCATCTCTTGCTGTGCCTGGAGAAAAGTGGCTTGATCTATTTAAAGTCTCTGCTTCCCCCGAGGGGCATCCAGCTGTAGACAGGCTCACTAATAAGTCTAAATCTTTGGAACTGTTGCTTTTGCATAAACACACCGGTATACGCACAAACTGTAAATCTTGTGTGTGTTTTCCCCTTTCAGCTGTGTTGTTCTGGTGCCTGCTGGACATTGTGCCAATTAAGAACGAAAAAGGCGACGTGGTGCTCTTTCTGGCTTCATTTAAGGACATCACTGACACTAAAGTCAAAGCCATCCAAGAAGACAAGAGGGAAGGTCTGTATGTGCATTTATGTACAGGAAGTTATGTCCTCTAAAGAGAGGTGACCAGAATCCCCAAATATTTAATCTTCATTTTGCATGTGGATTTTTATAATGTAAGCAGCCACAGCTTATCCATCGGATTCAATAGTTAAACTGGTGTTTCATGATGTAGACAAAAACAATCCCCTTAAGCTGTTGCATAAAATATGTGTTGAAGCTGAGTGTATTTGATCTCTCCAATGGAAAGTAGTAAGGTCCCCTTATACTGTTATTCATCTTTCTTTACTGCATACTGTACAAGTTAGGTTTGTGGGGCAAAAGGTTGTAGTGCAAACTAAAGACCAAGAGTTAATATAACATCCATCCATCCATTCAATTCAGCGTCAGGGAGCTAGAGCCTATCCCAGCGGTCAAATTATAATTGCAAGTTTACCACAAAGAACGCACACAAGCATGAGGAAGAACATACAAACCCTAAAAAGGTCCCACATGTCCAGTGGATTCAAATACAAGACCTTGCTGTGAGGCAACAGTGCTAACCACTGTATCAGTCCCTGTCTTTAAATAAATTATGTATAAAGCCTTTACTTGCATTTCAAGACAATAGATCGGTTTTTGTTTTTATTTTTTTAATCTAAAACCAGTCTTTGTTCAGGTGCTTTGGTCAGGATTAGCATGTTCTGTCTGATAGGGAATTTAAAAATGAACTTCAATCAATGTTTCCAGCTTTTGTGATTTTCATCAATACATAAAGAAGCTAAGCTAAAGCCAGAGTCAATGTGTGTGAATCTATGTGCTTGTGAAGTAAGCAAACTCACGTTTCTCATCTCAGACCTTCCTCTTCTGGATTTGCCTAATTACTCTGTAAATAAGGCGGAACTGGAAGCAGAAAGCAAAGTTATTTTTGCCCATATAATGAAATGCTTTTCATAGAAAAGGAAAGAGGCTGATGCTGCATGCCTCTGACACAGACAAACAGCACAGTATAATGGGTTTGAGACCCACTATTAATCATGTGTGTCTTCCTGTGAACTAAGGCAAATGGTAAATGGACTGGTTCTTACATAGTGCTTTTCTACTAGACCTGAGCACTCAAAGTGCTTTATAAAAATTGTCTGATTCACCCATTCATATAAGCACTTTTTTCTATGGTTAATGGCTCTCCAACAGTCACACCCATTCACACTCCCATGGATGATTTGGAGATCAACTTAGGCCATCTAGTATTTTTACCAAAGGATATTTGGCATGCAGACTGGATCGAACCACTGATCTTCCGTTTAGTGATGACCTGAACTTTATGCTTTAACCAAAAACCCAAACAGCCACTACATAAAGATATGACACAACATAGAAGAGCGAGCTCGACAGGACAACACTGTACAAGTGCACCTAAAGGGTAAAGGTCACTCTTCTTTCTTCCGTTCACAAGCACCTTACCCAAATCACAAATCAAGTAACCTCATTAGGTTAGATGATAGGGTGGGGCAAGGTCTGACAGTGGTTTCACCCAAAACCTCCGGTGGTAATGACCCACACCTTTTTTTCACACCTTATTTCATGATTAATATTGGTCAACAACCACTTCTCGAGGGACAACTCACCAGGGTTTAAATACGTGGGACCCTCCACCTTTTGCTTTTAGAGCTGAAGAAGCCTCTTGAATGAGAGGTGAAGAGTCTTCAAAAACTTTCAAGCTTAAGACGAGACTCTTGCGTATCTTGTCGATCTCCTGTCATTCCTTTGTTTGTTCTCTTCTTTTATGACAAACATTTTCACCTTTGGCAAAACGGCTTCTCACCTCTACTTGACTTTTTGCATCCTTGAGTACTTTTTTCACAACTGCATCCCTCCATGAGTTTCTCATCTATTCCATCTGATTTTACAATCTGTCCACGGCTTCCCCTACTTATGCACAACATCCACCCCTCCCTACCTGTGTGCCCCCTCTACCCACACAAGAATGGCTTTAAAAGTGGAGGGAAATTCATTAGATCTAAAAATAAGAATGTCTCTGCCTCTGTGCTCCTGCCGTGTCGCGTCCCCCAAGGCTGCACCGTGTTATGGATGAGCCCTGTCTTTTCTCCTTGTCTGTGGTCCACACGCGCACACACCCACAACACACACCAGAGAACTCATATACTTTCCAAAGGACACTCAGAAGCAGTTATCACTTCTATTCTGCAGCTTTGTTATCGTTGTTATCCCCTTTCAAGCCAATCTAGCCTTAGTCCTTTCCTGTGGGTGCGCAGCGGTGAGAATGAGGCCCAGAACCCAGTAGCAATAAAGTGCCTTCTCCCATTACCCAACTCCTCAGTCTGAACACATCACTCCTGCACTATCCTGCACTATCTACTTTATCTGCTACACACAGTCCCACACCAGTAGCAATTTACCACAGAAAATATACCTTACTGAACTGCCTCTTTGCCCCAGTGGCGACTTATCAAAGCTGAAAATTGCACTGTTTTGTTCGAGATGGTACTTACACAATAAGACATTATCAGTCAACGGGTTTGTCCAGTACAGCGGATGAAAGCATAATAAATGTTTTTTGACCAAACAAAAGGCCAAAGGACTGTAAATATCATTCACTATCTTTGCATTTCTGATCAAATAACACAGTTTGCTTAGAAATGAATTATTCCCACTGCTGCATATTCATGTTTTCCTATTCAAGGCAGAATATTATGTATTTCATCAAGTATAATGGCTGGTTCAGTCATCAGTTAACCTTGGGGGGTAAAGCGTTGTAGAGCGGTGTGTACTAATTTTTCCCTGTGTGCATTTCCAGAGCGACGGCGCGGCAGGGTGAAAACAGGCTCTCCTTTCAGCTCGGCTCGTCTGCGGAGCAGTACCGTACTTTACCACATCTCTGGGCACCTACACAGCAGAGAGAAGAGCAAGATTAAACTCAACAAGGTATCATCATATCATCAGCCTCTTCAAACAATGGGACAGGATGCACTGTGATGAAGGATTCATTTAAAAAGTGGATGGGGACAGATTGTGCAATTTGGGAATTAAGAAGATAACTGCTGTTAGTGAAGCACAATGGACACACTCAAGGGCTAGGAGCAAATATCTCTCACAAACAGTGAATTTACAACAATATGAATAGTTTGAGTAATTTCATTCCTGTATTAATAATGTGATTATTTATTTAACAAAAAATCAAGTCAAATGCAAAAGCAGTGTGGTAAAAAGAGGGTCTAATGTACTTGATTAACTGAATATTAGCAAGTGTGAGCACCTCTATGAAAGAAGAGGTTCTGGCAGTTTGTTGGTCTGCAGAATTCAGGTGTGTGTTGCATAATGCCAAGAAGGAAAGTCATCAGCAATGATCTTAGAGAAATTGTTGCTGCCTATGAGGCCGTTTCTAAACCATCTGAAGTCCATCATTCTACAGTGAAATAGATTCACAAGTAGAAAATATTCAAGACAATTGCCAGCATGATGTCCCATCACATCCACCCCGAGGTCAGACTGTGCAATGCTCAGAGTATTGCAAAAAGTCCAAGAGCTACATCTCAAAGTCTACATGTTAAAGTTAAAGACAATAGGAATAAGACAGAACAATGACAGCGTGTGTGGAAGAGCTGTCAGAAGAAACCCTCTTCTCACTAAACTGAACACTGCAGAAACAATGTGCTTTGGACAGATGAGACCAAAGCAGAGATATTTGGCAATAATGTGCAACACCACACTCGGTGAAAGCCAAACTCATACCAACCTTTAGCACGGTGATGGGGGGTAAAGACTAAGAAATTCAGCTACAGGAGCTGGATACTTTGGAGACCATGAACCCCTCTGTATACCAAAATATTTCAGAGTCATAAATGAGGACATTAGCAGTCAAACAGCTAACATTTGGCCCAAATTGGGACATGCAACAGGATGTTGAACAGAATTTCTGAAAAGAAAATTATCAAAGTGCTACAATGGCCCAGTACATCAACCTGATTGAAAGTTGGAACATTATGAGAGCTGTGCATTAATAAATGCTGTCAAACCTTCATGACCTGAATAATTAAAAGAAGGCGTGCTTTCTTTTTCGCTTGACTGTAGGTGGAAATAGGTGGATAAACTGGCTTTTTCCCCCTTGTATTGTCCCATCCAGAATGTGTTTGGCGACCTACCTGCTCTGCCCGAGTATAAGGTAGCAGATGCCAAGAAATCCAAATTCATCTTACTACACTACAGCACATTCAAAGCAGGATGGGACTGGTTGATTCTGCTCGCCACGTTCTACGTTGCCGTGACGGTGCCCTATAACGTGTGCTTCATCGGTAACGATGACGACCTGACCCGCAGCACAACCGTCAGTGACATTGCCGTGGAGATATTGTTCATCATAGGTCAGTTGCTGTCTTAAAACTGTTTTATTGTCACTTGTAAATAATTGAGTCTTCATAATAAGCACCAAGCCTGTGTGTGTCTTTTTTCTTCAACTGCCAGACATCGTTTTCAATTTTCGTACCACTTATGTCAGCAAGTCAGGCCAGGTGGTCTTCGACGCACGACAGATATGCATCCACTACCTGACCACGTGGTTTATCATCGACTTGGTGGCCGCGTTGCCCTTTGACCTGCTCTACGCCGTGAAAGTCAGCGTGGTGAGTAGCAACTGGCTCGATGCCTAACACCGCAACATAATTTGGTTTCCAGAGCTCTTTCAGTGTCTCTTTGGGATATTAATTACGTGCACTGAGCAAGCACTGACAAAACTATCACATCTGCATCATTAAAACTTTTTTTTCTGTTGCTTTAGTAAAATACATATCCCCCTAAAGAACAATTGAGAGGAGGAAGAAACAGAGATCTGGAGCAATTAGGTAGACTGTGTTGTCTTGTCCCCGGATGAATGATGTCACTGAGTCGAAGCATTGCACTTTAGGGAGGTTTTGATTGGTTGCTTATAGAACTTTTCGTTCTCTGGTCTCTAATTTAGAGAATGGGATGCTTTGACTGTGCTGAATATCACTGTTTGCTCACTCAGCTGCTGTAGAGTGGATCAAAAGCTCAATACGGAGTACTGGATGGATGCACACAAGCATCCAGTCTCAAATAGGTGCGTGTTTGACTAAATGCTCAGAACAGAACAGGTATTAAAGAGCAGGAAGAAAGTGTACAGATCTGTGTTATGAAAGGAGACGGTTAATAGAAGAATTCGGCCGCTGTTTGAAAAAAATCAGCAAAATGAAAAAAAATATTTACTTTCAAGGTAAGGAGGGAGGGAAAGGATGCGAGTAGTAAAAGGCTGCTGCAGGCAGTGGTACCGGTTTGATACAAGACTCTATTAATGGAAATACCACATGCTCAGTAGGCCAGGATTTGTGTGTAGGGGTACCAGGCCATGAGTTCCTCCATTTCCCCGCTGGGATCAGCAGGAATGGCTAGTAATTGAGGAATGTTCTGCGTGAAGTCTCCTCTAAGGACAGGAGCATTCATGCTGATGTCCCTTTTGAGAACAGAAGCCATCTTTCACCGAAATGAGCCATGGGGCCTCAGCGGTGTTCCTCTCTTTTGTTTCCCTGTTGTTTTTGTCATATGTCTCAGTCATTTCTGTTTTTAGTGTGTTTCGCATTCTATCTTGTGACTTTTCTGTTGTTTTGTGTCACTTGCACTTTCTTGCTCTTTTTCATAGTCTCTATAATGCTCTCATTTTCCATGATCATTGCTCTGTGTATTATAAAATGCAGATAATGTTTGTACATATTTCACAAGTTTAGGAAACAGAAGGGGACAGAGGGAAAAGTATAGAATTAAGCAAAAGCAAGTCTATGATTCTGGGTGCTGTAATTTGTATGTATATATTGGGTGTCTATACACTGGTTATCACTGAAAGTGTATATATGAAAAGGTTTCTGTGCATCATTTTGTTACCCGCAGATTGTCACAAAAACACATAATTTTACCCAAATTTTATAGCTGAATGCACAAAAAATGCAAAACATAACAGAGTTGGCAGACATAAAATAGTATTTTTGCACCAACAAAGTGATTCCCAAAGAAATGTGAACTTAAAACTGGAAGCGTATCTCGATATTGTCTGGAGTAAGTCATTAAAGCAGAGTGATCAAAAAACAAAAATAAAAATAACGATAAACAGTATTTGAAAGTTGTTTTCTTAAGGAAAAGGGGAAAATTTCAGCAAAGACCTGACACAGGACCTAAGAGATGCATCTGGTTCTTCAGCTGATCCAGCTACTGTTCACTGAAGCTTCATGAGAAATTGTGCCAGTGAAAGGGTGGCTGTCAGGAAGCCATTTTTAATGAAGGGAAACAGGTATGGTATTCAAAATTAAATTAAGAACTGGCCTGAAAATTAGTGGTAACAGGAGTGATGAATCCAATTTTGAAATTTTTGGTTCAAAAAGTCAATATGTACAGATGAGGTCAGGAGAGATGTATAACAGCAAGTGTCTACAGCCATCTGTAAAACATGGTGGAGGCTCTGTCATGGGTTTGGGCTGCATTTCAATCAGCAGTGTTGGAGAGCTTATCAACACTGATGAAATTATGAACACAGAAAAGTACCATCACATTTTGATCCTCTACACAGAGTTTCATTGGGAGCAGCTTCATTTTTCAGCATGACTGATTTTTGATATATATAGATTATATTATCATTTATGCTTGCACTTGTTTCACTGCATCGCACCTATTTTGCATTTTCCTACAAAATTAAAAAGATATGAGGGGTAGCTCAAGACTTTAGCACAATGCTGTACTCTTACTGTGAGGGAATAAAGGAACAGAAGAAATATGTAATTAAATAATATAAAAAAAACCCCACTGTTTATATGAACAGCAAGCTCCAGGCAGGTTACCAATACTCACCAATTAGTCCTTTTCCTTGGATATATTCCTTTTTATTGGGTGTTTTCAATACTCTTCCCTTTTTCTCTGTACTTTGGACCAGACCTCTATTTATCATCTCCAGTTGGTCCAAAATGCAGCTGTTCATCTGCTGACTAGTTCAAAACAGAAGGAGCGTATAACCCAGAGTTGGCCTCTCTACACTGGTTTCCTGTTCCTTACAGGATCCAATTTAAAACTTTACTCTTTCAGAGCCTTCTCTGTGACAGGTCCCAGACTCTGGAATAGTCTGCCTCTAAATATTAGATCTGCACAAACACTCGAACATTTTAAATCTTTACCGAAAACACATTTTTATCCACTGGCTTTTAGCACATGTTGGCCTGAACATTTTTTGTTTTAACAGCCCCATTAACATCATTGTTGTGCATTTTACTTATTTTAGTTGCCTTTTAGTTTACAAAGCACTTTGTCCAGCATGAGCTGTTGTAAATGTGCTTTATAAATAAACTTGACCTTGACCTTGAAATTTTGTGTGCATTTCCATGCACAACTGTACATTTTAGTTCCCACAGAAATTTTGCTTTTATCTGCTTGACTGAAATATTTTTTCAAGAAAATAACACAGGAGGTCCAAAAACGTGTCCTGAGCGGAAATTTGAATAGCATTTCTTCACTTGAAAATGTTTACCACCAATGTACATTTCATTCACTTCTTACTTCTTTCTTAAATGAAAAGTGTGCTGAGATTATCTGGCTTTTTACTGATATGAACATTTTTTTCAGCAGTACATAGTTGATGCAAACAGAAACCTCCGCTTGATTTAGCTGCTGTGAGTAGGTCTCCTGGGTCTGTATGGCTGGATGCCCTGTTGGCATTAGGGAACAATGTTATTCATGCTTATTGGGCCGATACCGTGGCATTAATAAAATAAATAAATAAATAAACATGCATGACTGGCCATGCTGTTGTGATAGGCGTGCAGGGCTAAAGGCGTGGCTACAGGGGGAGAAATAATGAGCATTTCTGCAACCTTATGGTCTCACGCGCACAAAAAGCAGAAGTAAGCAATCAGGCTGCAAAGCATATATATTTCACACCTGATAAGCAGAGGAAATGAAAATGTGAATGGCAGGGGTGAGATGGAAGTGACAGGAGGAAAAGTTAAAGGAAAAAGTAGCAGGTGGTGCACATATGCATTGCTGGCTACATTATATTGCTTACCACTCATGGCGCTGGAGAGAACGGGACGTGGCGCAGCCTGCTCGCTCCATAGGTGGGATGTGGGGTGGTGATAGATAGTGGAGGGGAGATGGTGCCTCTCCCCTGGGCTCAGTAGGAGGCTTCATTACGCCTCGTGCTGCACCAGCTCTCTATTTCTCACGGCGATAGGACAAGCTACCATAAAACTGGAGACATGTGCAGGAGAAGCTCTGATAAGGACAGTCCACATATCTCCTCCTCTTAGCTTTGTTCAAGCACTGTAATTCCCTCCTTTACCTCCTTGTCCCCTCACATGCACCCATGTACACACAAACAACCCTTGATATATTCTAGTTATTACTACATGAAATAGTTATACGGTGCCCTGCTGATAATCAGCACAGAGCCTGAGAAAATATCTGAGTCTGCACATCAAATGTAACCCAGGGGCCAGAGAAACAAATTGTCCCAAAGAAAAGACACTCTTTATTACATATGTTAAATAATGCATGTGCTGTGGACACAGATGTTGGACATCCATCCACACAGATTTTGTGTTGTTATGGTGTGGTTAGCTTTGCATATAATGTGTGGATTATATGCAGCGGTGTGTCAGCACATGGTACTCTAATGGACCCTGGTTTAGCTTCTCTGTCTGCATAAGCTTAGCATTCAGAGATGTACCCTGACAACACCACACCACAGTCAATGCATTGCACATCTATGCAAGGTTAAAGTGACCGTCTAGACGTGAGACTGACCTATGCAATACTGAGAAATGTTTTATCTACAATTGGCAGTTTATGCTTTTTCTTTGACATTTTCCTTGAAGTCTTGATTGCGCTGACTAGTCAGCGACTTTTCTGGGTGCATGACAGAGGCTGTTTGTAGTGTGACAGACTGATTAATCTCACTGTACTAATCTGGCCACCTTTGATGGGCCCCATCTTCAATGCATAGGGTTCCTCACTCTGACTCTCTATAATTTCCCAGCCTCTACAGTTTTAAAGACAAACCCTCTGGGTCCGGTACCACATACTTTGGGGCTAGCTTTGCAATGTTTGCAATGTGATGTTTGTTATCTTGCCTTGAATGTTTAGTTGAGACATTAAACACTGTGCACAGAATATATCATGTTACCTGGGTCGTGCAAGGCCTAACTAGCATGACCTCTTTGGTCCCAGTGTTCCTGCACACTATTTTTATCATTCTAATGTGTCACTCTTCTCTTGATGCTTTGTTCCATTTGCTCAGCATAGAGGACCCTAAGGTGCTGCTGGAAGCACTTGCAGGAGACCATTTTTATCAGCAGTGTTGGTGATTTGGCCCCGTTATACACAGCTGATGGAGAATTCCTTTTCTTTAAGGAAGTTTATCTAATCACTGTGTTTTGTTTTCTCTTAGATGGCCTAAACTACTTCAGTGACTAATTGCTACTGCACAGAGAAATCCAAAACCAAGTCCTTATTTTTTTTAAATATAGTGACGTGATCTTGAGATCTCCTGTTTTTCTTCTCCTTAAATTGATATGAACAGGATCATAATCCCTTTTAAGGACATTTCTTGATTAGAATATCACAGCTGAATGATTTATTGTATTTATTTATTTATTTATTTTTGTGGAAGTGAAGATAACTGTCTGGATGCTTTGACTACACCCTATCTTTATATACAGTATTTTTTTGGCCTACTTTCCCACCCAATTTTCCCTGCTTCCTCTCCTCGCTACACAAATACACATGTAACATGTATCACATGTCCTCTTTGTCCTACATCTTTCTTAATAATACCTGGTGTGTACATCTCCTGTGGGGAAAGATGACAGCAAGTCCCAAATGATAGACTGTTCGCGCAGTTTGCCTGAGGAGCAGGTGCAAGTCAGAGGAGGGCTCAGAAGACATGGGCCAAAATTTAAGTGGTTACAGAATGAAGGAAAACAGAAAAGGCATAAAAAGTCCAGAGAAGCAAACTCGGCTGAAGGTGGGAATTTTAAGTTAAGACACAAAACCAACACACAGGCTGATTTCTCTTGCATTCAAGGTTATCAGCAAATCTTGATACAGATCACATTATAGAGTCAGAGAGCAACTGAGTAACTAATGCTTCTTTTTTCCTATAATTAGTGCTGCATGTGCACAAAAGTGGCTTAATCAAATATTATTAACATAGTCGGTGGCTATTATTTGATATGCCTCCCATAAATATCATAGTGGGGAGCTTCTTAACACCAGTTGGCTGGTTAATTTGAGAAAACTGAAAATACATTTAATGTTTTAGTTCTTCGACACTTCTTTTTATATCTCTTGAGAAGAATTTGTTGGTTAGACTACTGTTAATAACTGACAATCATTTAAAGTTCATGCTGGCTTTGAAATTTAGTACAGAATGTCAGTTTTATGTGTTTTTTTAAACTCTTTGATAATAAGAACCATTTTAAAGAAGATTCAATGTATCCTTGTCCATATAATTAAAAATACATCTGTCAATCCAAAATGTGAATTCCACTTCACTTTAATGTGAAAGTTCTTAACAGTAAAACTTGTATGTAACCAGTTACTTCATTATCTACAAATAGATTCACCTTGGTTTATTGTTTACCTACAGGTGTCAGTGGTGCACCTGTTGAAGACAGTGCGTTTAATTCGACTGCTGAGGCTGCTCCAAAAGATGGACCGCTACTCGCAGCACAGCACTGTGGTTCTGACCCTGCTGATGTCCATGTTTGCCCTTCTGGCTCACTGGATGGCCTGCATCTGGTACATCATCGGCAAGAAGGAAATGGAGGACAACACGAACAACTGGGATATTGGTCAGTGGCGGGGGAAATCTTAACCGCAAATCTTCAAACTCTTCTTCTTCTTTGAGCTGCTTCCTTTAGGGTTTGCCACAGTGGATCATCTGCTTCCTACCATCACTACCATCTTGTAAACCTTCTCTTTCACTCTTGCTGCTGTCCTTCTGTCACGAATTCCTCCTGACACTCTTCACCCTCTCTATTCTGCCTGCACTCTCTTCTTCACCTCTCACGTGTACTGTCCGTTGTGTTGGATGGTTCACCCCATTTATTTTACCTCTGCTCCTTGCACCTTCACCTTTCCACTTGTTTCCGTCTCATTCACACACACGTAGTTCCTGTTTTTCATTCCTCTTCTCTCCAGAGGATACCTCCATATTTTTTATCCATCTGCTCCCTGCTCTCACTGCTGATCTCAGTGTCGTCACAACATCCTAGTCCAAGGAGACTCCTGCCTGACCTCATCTGTCCCCTTGCAAACAAGAAAAGGATCAGAGCAGATCACCAATGGAATCTCACTTCCATCTTAAAGCCATCTGTCATTCCTACCTCGACACTGTCTATCTGTCCTCATACATGTCCTGCACCACCCTAACATACTTCTCTGCCGCTTCTGACTTCCTCTTGCAGTACCAGAGCTCCTCCTTTGGCACCATATCATATGCTTTCTCTAGATTCACAAAGACACAGTGCCACTTTTTTCGACCTTTTCTATACTTCTCCATCAACAGTCTCACATAAAACATTGCATCTGTAGTGTTCTTCCTTCGAAGCGCCTTTGAAATCCTATGATGTCAAAACAAACAACGACTTGTAACTGAGACCTTTTTTTTCAGCATAGCACCGGTGCTACTGGGCACTTTGCCAGTATCAGTTGTAGCATCTTCAGGCGCTGTTGGTGCTTGGATTAGTAATGTAATACAATCTTCCCACCCCCTATCATTCGCAGGAAGACATTGAATGTGCTGATTCACCACAAATGTTGCTAGAATATCACAGAGAACCAGACAAAGAAAGAAAAAGATTTGTTGCTGTGTTTTGTACCAAAAATTAATTGAATTCATTATATTGTAGCCATGTGAAAATAAATTAATTAATAAGTCTCAGAGCTACCCACCACTGTGGTAACAGTGTACATGAAATGTGATGTGTGCCTGCAGAGATTTGTTATCAACTTTGTTACAGGATGCTAATGGAAAACTGACTCCGGTGACATCAAATGCTGGGACAAAATGTGGGGCTAAAAAAACAGCCTCAGTTTCTGTTCTAGCTGAAGGAGTCATTATCTAGTTTTGTCAGACTCAGTATAAAAGAAATGTTGAGCTTCTATGGGCCAAAATCTGTGCAATAAACAGACTCATACAAAGGCTATAATAAAGGCTAGTATAATAAAAGACACAGACAGACAGACAGACTAGACTGTATCCCTAAAGGCCAAAAACATTAACTCGTTTAAAATTGGCCCTTTCAGCTTGACCTTCATGTTGACCTCTGGACTGCTTCCAGTGCTAGCTGCAATTGATAGATTGTTCTCCGGAGAGTCCTGTTCAGTGCACCTGCAAATTGTGCATCTATGCTGCATGTAGGGTCTACTCCACTGTGTCAGAACGGTTAGCCTTTAACTATTATTATGGAGAAGTGGACAAATTCAAAGAGAGTGAAATATGCTTAATTGGATTTGTGGTGAGTAAAGATTGTGCTGTTCTGGCTCATGAATGTTCTCCCTGTGACAACACTGGACATCCCCAAAACTCAGCAACTTCAAAGTCATGTTCATTTTTATGCTTCACACCTGATGCACTACCTGCAGGCTCGCTGGCTGCAGGTTTTGGGGGTTTTTTTTGGTTTAAAAAAAAAAAAAAAAAAAGCTTTCATCACCAATAGTGTAGAGGTGCACAAGAAGACAAACTTGAACAGGACAGAAGTCATATTTAAATTTCTGAAGTGCTGTTAAAACCAGAGATACAGGGTTTTTTCTGCAAGTGAGATCTTATATTTACCTGTATATGCATTTGTCATCAGGGTCTTCATATAGGATTTTAAGCCTTTACGGTAGAGCCGTAAAAAAAGGTGGGTGCAACAACTGCATCACTTATGTGTGTGTGCATTGTAAAATCAGTGCAAAATGTGTTAATTCTTCTCATACCGAAACACAAGGCTTCCCCTTTAGTCCTCAGGTCACTTATGTATAACGAGGCCTGTTGGGCTGATTTTTGGTTAGCATCGATAAGCTGTGCTGTTCACAATTACCTTGTTCTTGCATCTTCATAACTGGATCCCGGTCAATATCCAGTGGGTCATGAGAACAATGCAGATTTCTTTTCACCAATTACTGCATAGGATTTCATGATAACCAGTAAAAATGAAGGCTGGTAATTTTGTGGAAATTTTGTTACAAGTCGAGTTTAATTTTTATATTAACTGCTGTTATGAAATTGAAACAAATTTAACGTTTCTGTCTGACCATCCGTTTGCTGTTTACACTATATTAAAACAGGATGGCTCCATGAACTGGGAAAGCGTCTGGAGTCGCCGTACTATCCCACAGGAGGTGTTAATGGTTCTGGCAGTGGTCCCTCCATCCGAAGCGTCTACATCTCTTCACTCTACTTCACACTCAGCAGTCTCACCAGCGTGGGCTTCGGCAATGTGTCAGCCAACACTGACGCTGAGAAGATCTTCTCCGTTTGTGTCATGCTTATAGGAGGTACACGAACAAACGATCAGTCGTGAGATATCGTCACATTAACTTGAGTGCACACGTGTTTTGGAAATGATGGAAATGCTTACATTTATCATGAGATCAGATTGAGACAACAGTGTGTGGAATTATACTTACCTGTACAAATGACCCTTACCTGAAATCGGATACGCAGTGAAGCAGGATAGACGGATGGATGGAACATCAACAAAATCTGATCCTGGTCCATCATTTGTTTCACTGTAAGCTGTTATATTTCACTGGCAGACAACTGCAGGAAGGTCTGATCCAGTTTAAACTGGCTTGTTACACTACATTTGTGTTTTGGGGATGAGGAGAGGTCACCGTGGTGGGGGTTTTCCCTGTGGACACTCCCAATTCTGGTTCAGCTAAATGCTAAATGTCCCTGGCTGCCTGGGGCAGTAGCAGTAGCTGTCACAGACACACCACACAAACATGTGCTTACACAAACACACACACACACGCTATCCCTGTTGGGTTTACACGAAATAAAAACTTGAACCAAGCACCTGTTCATATTTATATGGAAACATAGGCCAAACTGGATGGGTGGAATTGAATTAAATCATTTTATTCCATCATTCAATGCAAACATGAATAACAATATGACTAAATGACCTTACAACAGTGTAAAACATAAAATGTAATTAGTTTTCAGTGGTGAAGCTTAAAGCTCAGTTTTCTTTCATTAATGGCTCATGCCACAATCAGTAATCGCTGTCACAGCAGTCCCACTTTCCCGTCTTGCAGCATGCGACACAGCTGCAGCACCGCTGAAAAGTGGATGAGCTTAGGTGAACAGGACAGGTATCTGTCATCCCAATCAAATATGACCCTGCCAGACCTAATCCTGATGTTCCTGTGTTCTAGGAGTAGAGCTGCAGGATATGCATGTGTATATTTAGTTGATTTGATGTTTATTTGATCATAGAAATCAAGTGGAGGCAGAACTGTTGTATTCCTGCCTTATTCCTGTTGCTTATTTAATATTTTAGAAATATGACAGAGTTCCTGTTTCTAGATGTTTCTCTCTGACCTGCTTTGAGCAACTTATGATCTGAGTCCAATTCCATGTTTTTCTACTGTTATTGTGCTGCACTTGTAACACTTGTGCTGATGTTTCTCTTTGGTTTACTGTGAGATACAAAACCAGTCTAGAAAAGAGTTTAGTCAGGTTTCCTATTTTTGTTCCCTGTCTTGACAATTCACTGTCAGCACATTTTTCACTGTATGTCATCCATGCTTACTGTCCACTTCATTAACTCTCCTTCTTCATCTCTTCTTACCTGCAGCACTGATGCACGCTTTGGTCTTTGGTAATGTGACAGCCATTATCCAGAGGATGTACTCACGCTGGTCTCTGTACCACACCAAAACCAAAGATCTCAAGGACTTCATACGTGTCCATCATCTGCCGCAGAGCCTCAAGCAGCGAATGCTGGAGTACTTTCAAACAACCTGGTCGGTCAACAATGGCATCGACTGTAACGAGGTATGAAAGGAAGACGACTTGATTGGTTTTTGCTAAACTGAAATTGGAAGTGTCTTTGCATTGACGATATCCCAACATCAGCATCAAATACAGTAATTACTTCAGTTGGTATTAACCCTTTCCCTACTTGGTCTGTTCACTTGTACTTTAAATGTCCAACAGCACAGCCCACAGGGACCGATAACTCATTTGAAAGTTCACATACTCCTTACATGTCAGCCACATTTAGGCTCACGGTAGAGGTGAAAATACAATCAATGGTACTATGATTACCCACAGTGAATGCAGGTGTGTTTAGCCCTGAGCACTGACTCACAGGGAGAAGAAGACATGACTTTTTTGTCTATGCATGATGATATTTAGAGGACAAGCTCTCGGCCTTCAGTTTCAAAAATGATGATTCGAGGCTGGTTTTCAAAACCAGATTTTGTTTTTGTTGAAGACAACATCAGGTGAAAGGAAACGTGCAAACAGATCTAAGTGTGCAAATGTGGCTTCAGGACCATGTAGAGAAAACACACAGTAAGACAGGGTGAACAACACCTCTGCTTGATAAGCTCAGGGAAACGGAGGCAACCAGTCAGCAGTATAGTAGCAACTCGTCCCTCTAGGCTGTGAATGCCTGCAAGACAGCTGTCAGAAAACAGAGCAGGGAGTGGAGGGAGTGATGATGATGAAACCCAGACAAATGAATTATAGATGGGCCTGTTGATTAAAGTAAGCCTGGCTCTGATGACTCATTGATCAGCTGTGATGCTGCTGAGCTGCAGATCTTTGTCCCGCTGAGGGGATGGACAGATAGATGATGTGCAAATGACAGCGTTTCTCCAAATTCTCACCTTATATTGTCTGTGTTGCAGCCACAGGTGTTGCATTGGTTGGTAATGGTGTATAAAGGTAATTATTACTACATAATGATAGTAATAATAATATCTTTTAACTTTAGGTACATGTGTTTTTTTTTTCTTACAATTACAAGTGTCATGCTGCTCACATCCTTCTCTGATTTCTATTTCCCCCCCCATCTCTACAGCTGCTGAAGGACTTCCCAGATGAGCTGCGATCTGACATCACCATGCACCTTAACAAGGAGATCCTGGAGCTGTCGCTGTTTGCCTCTGCCAGTCGCGGCTGCCTGCGCTCCCTGTCACTGCACATCAAGACCTCTTTCTGTGCTCCAGGAGAGTACCTCCTTCGACAGGGTGACGCTCTCCAGGCCATCTTCTTTGTCTGCTCAGGATCCATGGAAGTGCTGAAAGATGGCATGGTGCTGGCCATTCTGGGTATGATAAAAGGGAGAAGGAAGGGGCTCGGGGGTGGGAAGACGGAAGGAAAACAGATCTTTTCTAATTTTAACAAGGAAACAGCAAGCTTAATAACGAAGCTCTGCGTGGCTCTTTGTGTAAAAGCCCATCCTGAAAATAGGCTAATTGTTTTGAATTTGAAGGATTACATTGTCCTAGAGGCTATTGTGCATTTTCAGTGAATTATTATTAAGCTCTTGTTAAAAAGTCAACTCACTGGCCTCAGCAGAGATTCCTCTGAAGTTATTATCACTCTGATGCTGCAGATTTGTCGACTGCATATCCATGATGTGAATCTTCCAACACATTGCAAAAGGTGCTCTATTGGATTGAGATCTAGTGGTTGTGTAGTCCATTTAAGTACACTGAACTTATTGTCATGTTCAAGAAACCAGTTTGTGATGATTTGAGCTTTGTGGCATGGTGTGTTATCCTGCTGGAAGCATCCATCAGATAATGGTGCAGGGTCATAGGTCAGCAACAATATTCAGGCTGTGGTTAAGCTCAGTTAGGCAACAATGCTCATTTGGTTGTAACAATTTACACAAACAAGGTGGGATGGATCCGTGCATATTTAAAAATTCATTCGAATTTTGCAGCAGAAATTGAGAATCGTCAGACCAGGCAACATTGTAGCCTAAGTATCCTGTTCTTGTGCCACCTGGTGTGGTCTTCTGCAGCAGTAGCACATCTGTTGTACATTCTTCTGCAGCCTTCCAATCAGCTAGAAGCATGTCTTGGGGGTTCCTTTTTGTCTGTATTAGATTGTGCAGTGAAGATGAGACAACAAGCCTTGGATCTGAGTCAGACCCGGGATACAGCATTTAGCCCTCCAGCACATGCAGCATATTGCCTGCTCAACTTGGAAGCCAAACAGGCACCCTGGGAACTGCCATTGACTGGACATTTTCTCCTTTTCTGACCATTCTCTGATAACCCTAGAGATTGTCGTGTGGGAAAGTCCCAGTAGATCAGCAGTGTTTGAAATTCTCAAACCAGCCAACGGCCAACAACAATGGCATGTTTGAAGTCTCCTATATCACCTTTCTTTCTCATTCTGACAATCATTTTGAACTTGGGCAGGTCGCCTTGACCATGTCTACAGGCCTATATTGATGGAGCTGGATGGATGAAGCTGCCGTGTGATTGGCTGATTAGATATTTGAGTTAAAGAGCGGTTGAAAATGTACCAAATGCAGTGACCAGTGAGTGTAAATGCCATTTTTGAGCAATCTCCTTTTGCAGTAGGCAAAGAAGGACTTGTCAATTTGTGCACATAATATGAAGGAGCTGCATTCTTCTTTAAGCTGGGCTGCATGTTTTAGTGATGTCTTGAAGCCCATAGAGGATGAGCGGTGTCACGATCTGGTACAGGGATTCAACGCAGAGCGGTAAGGTATCTCTAAGGTGTGGTTTATTTACAGTGCAGTGCAATATATGTACAGTGAAGGGATCCAAAAACTCCGGGGGGAATCACAGGGTAACTCGCTCACGTCTTCTCCGCTCACACTCACACACTTTCCCGTAGCAGGGAGGTCGCAGGTCCGGGGGGGGGGGGGGGGGGGGGGAGATCTGAAGCAGACGAGAAGGCAGGTCACCAACAAATCACAAGTCACGGATATGAAGCACAAGAGCTGTGAGAACACTAACGTTAGGGGTACAATCATCCAGCGACGAGAGGATCTGTGTTCCAGCCTCAAATAGTGCTCCCGGTGATGATGGGTGAGTGTTGTCAGGTGTGTGTGTGGGCCAAGGGCGGGAGCCCACAGTGAGCTCCGCCCAGGCAGAGAGGGAGAAAACAGCAACAGCAATTGTAGCCTTGTGGGGCCGACCGGGCAGGCACGGAGACCATGACAGTACCCCCCCCTCAACGGGAGCCTCCCGGTGACCCACCAGGCTTACCTGGATGCCTGTGGTGGAAGTCCCGGAGCATGGCAACATCCAGGACAGCAGCTCAAGGCACCCAGGAGCGTTCCTCTATCCCGTAGCCCTCCCAGTCAACCAGGTACTGAAAACCCCGACCCCGGCGCCGGGAGTCCATGATGCGGGTGATATTGTAGACCAGCTGACCATCCACGAGCCGGGGGGCGGCGGGGCCCTGGAGGGAGGGCACAACGGGCTGGAGAGCACCGGCTTGACCTGAGACACATGAAAGACATTGTGAATGCGCATGTTGCGCGGCAGCTTGAGGCGGACAGACACAGGGTTCACAATGGCCTCAACGGGAAAAGGGCCAATAAACTGAGGAGACAGCTTCTTCGACTCAGTCCGTAGCGGCACAAAACGGGTAGCCAGCCATACTTGTTGACCGATGGTGTACACGGGGGCCGGTGTCCGGCGACGGTCAGCGAGGGTCTTGTTCCGCTCCTTAGTACGGAGCAGGGCAGCCCGAGTCGTCCGCCAGGCACGACGGCACCCGCGGAGGTGAGCCTGTACAGAAGGAACGGAGTGCTCACCTTCGATGGCCGGGAGCAAAGGTGGTTGATAGCCCAGGGACGCTTCGAAGGGAGACTTGCCCGTGGCGGAGGATGTGTGGCTGTTGTGGGCGTATTCGATCCATGGAAGCTGTTCACTCCAGGTCGATTGGTTGTGCGAAGTGACACAGCAGAGGGCAGCTTCCAGCTCCTGGTTGGCCCGCTCCGATTGCCCGTTACTCTGTGGATGGAAACCGGAAGACAGACTGACCTTGGCCCCCAGTGCGGAGCAGAACTCCCTCCAAACACGGGACGTGAATTGCGGCCCCCTATCCGAGACGATGTCCTCGGGGATCCCGTGAAGACGGAACACATGGGAGGTGAGGAGCCGGGCCGTCTCCAAGGCCGAGGGGAGCTTCGGGAGGGCGACGAAGTGTGCAGCTTTGGAGAAACGATCGATAATGGTAAGTATGGTGGTGTTACCAGCGGAGGGCGGCAGGCCCGTGACAAAGTCCAAAGAAACATGGGACCATGGTCGAGCTGGTGTAGGGAGAGGCTGCAAAAGACCCGGTGGAGGGCGGTTCGAAAGCTTATTCCGGGCGCAGGTCGAACAGGCGGCTACATACTCCTTGGCATCCCTAGTCATAGCAGGCCACCAGAAGTAACGTCGGAGGAACGAGCAGGTGCGGAGGACCCCAGGATGGCATGAAAAGCGGGCGGTGTGAGCCCACTGGAGAACCTGAGAGCGGACGGCTGAAGGAACAAAGAGGCGACCAGGTGGACCAGTGCCAGGATCCGGTTCGGTCTCCAGCGCCTCTTGGATGAGCCCCTCGATCTCCCAGGAGATGGCTCCAATTACGCAGGCGGCCGGGAGGACAGGCTCAGGGTCCGAGTCCTCCCCAGTGATGGAGAATTGCCTGGACAGGGCGTCTGGCTTTACGTTCCGTGTTCCTGGCCTGTAGGTGATAGTGAAGTCAAAACGAGCGAAAAACAGTGCCCACCTGGCTTGCCGGGAATTGAGACGTCTAGCCGAGCGCAGGTACTCCAGATTCTTGTGATCCGTCCAGACGATGAATGGTTGTGCTGCTCCCTCCAACCAATGTCTCCACTCCTCCAGGGCCAGCTTGACGGCCAGAAGCTCCCGGTCCCCGATGTCATAGTTACACTCTGCTGGGGAGAGACGGCGAGAATAAAAGGCATACGGGTGCAGCTTACCGTCCATCTGTTGCGACAGAACTGCCCCAACCCCGGAGTCCGACGCGTCCACTTCCACAACGAACTGCCGTGTAAGGTCCGGTTGCCGGAGTATGGGAGCGGTGGTGAACCTGTCCTTGAGCAGGGCGAAGGCTCGCTGAGCGGCAGAATCCCACTGGAAGGGAACCTTGGGAGAGGTGAGTTTAGTGAGAGGGAGAGCGATTCTGCTGAAATCACGAATGAACCGTCTGTAAAAGTTGGCGAATCCCAAAAAACGTTGCACTTGGCGGCGATCAGGAGGAGTAGGCCATTCCACCACAGCTCGCACTTTCTCCGGATCTGTCCACAAGTCCCCCTTCTCGATAATGTGGCCCAGAAAACTCACAGACGACACGTGGAAGTCGCACTTCTCCCCCTTCACAAAGAGCCGGTTCTCCAGAAGGCGTAGCAGGACCTGCCGGACATGGACCTTGTGCTCCTCGAGCGTCTTAGAAAAGACCAAGATGTCATCTAAGTACACAAACACACAACGGTTAACAAAATCACGAAGGACATCATTAACCATCGCCTGAAACACCGCGGGGGTGTTAGTCAGCCCAAACGGCATCACGAGATACTCAAAGTGGCCCCGATGCGTATTGAACGCGGTCTTCCACTCATCCCCCTCCCTGATGCGCACCAGGTGGTAAGCGTTGCGCAGATCCAGCTTGGTAAAGACGGTCATGCCCTGAAGCAGTTCAAAGGCGGAGAAAAGCAACGGCAAAGGGTATTTGTTCTTAACAGTGATCTGATTAAGGCCCCGAAAGTCAATACACGGCCGCAGCGAACCATCCTTCTTATCCACAAAAAAACCCCCAGCCGCGACAGGGGAAGAGGAGGGGCGAATCAACCCCGCCGCCAGCGACTCCGAGATGTAGCGCTCCATAGCATCCCTAGCTGTACAGGCGGCTAGACGGCAGCGGAGCTCCAGGAAGAAGATCGACGGCACAATCGTACGGGCGGTGCGGGGGAAGGGACCGCGCCCGATCCTTACAAAAAACATCCCGCAGATCATGATAAACCCGCGGAACCATCGAGAGGTCCGGGGCGTCCGACGGCGAGGCCGTGGGTGGGAGCGAAACGGGGGAAGCCGCAGCCCGGAGGCAGTTCATATGGCAGGCCACACTCCAACCTAGTACGGCACCCTTCTCCCAGTCGATATGCGGGTTGTGGAGGACAAGCCAGGGGTGACCCAGAACCAGCGGAGTGAGAGGAGCCTTAAACGAAAAAAAACAAATCCTTTCTGTGTGATTGCCAGAGAGAGATAATGAAAGGAATTCAGAAACATGAGTGATGTCAGTCAGGCGCTGGCCCGACAGTGCGTGAACGCGG